CGTGGTTCATCTAGCGCACCTAGATGAGATGCAATATGCAAGTGTATGAATATGAAGAATAGTACCATGAGATGCATCACAAAATAGCAAGCAAGGACAAGCATAGTTTACAATCACACTTAAGTACTTTGCGATGCTTAACTTAACCATCACACAATCTATCATGCTAAGACGGCAAAGAAGACGACAACACCAAGCATGACACAAGTTTCCCAAGATCTCAGGTGCTCTAACTCAGTCATCACTCAAGGCATAAGTCACACTTAACAATATACAAGCAAACACTATAATTGGAATCCGCCAATTTCTGGACATGCAAACAACAGCTACAAGATTTAGCTATAACTGGAGTTACACAAATCCAAATGACTTGCAAGAAGACATTATGGAAATCTTATGAAATTGTCTACAATTCATATTTAAACCTATCAGCATGATTCCAAAGTTAACCAGGTTAAACAGGCACATTTATCAAAGCTGGTCCAGCAATTCCAGAAAGCTACAATTTCTGAAGACCAACTTAGAACAGTCATAACTCACAAACTACTTGGCCACATGCCATGAAAATTTAACACAAGCTAGTTAGGTGAGTTATCTACAACTTTCTTATTATCATCTTAAGATGATTCTACAGTTAGAAGGATCAATTAAACCAATAATTGCATCGCTATCCAAAACATAGACAGAAACTGACATGCCACTTTAAACAACTATAAATGGAGTTATACAGGTCCAATAAATGTGGTTCTAGACTTTTTAGAAAGCTTGTCAAATTCTAAACAACTTTGTTGTAAACACCTAAAGCAAATTCTACTATTAAGAAGGCCCCACAATACCAACAAGGTAACCCTGTCAGAGTTTGGGCAGAAACAGCCACTGATATTTAAGTAAGTATAACTCAAGATCTACTTAACCAAAAATCATGATATTTAGCTTTTTGAAAAGCTTAATAAAAGTACTACAACTCATGTATTATCACAAAGTCATGATTCATAACCTAACTAGGCCAATTAATTTAATCTTGCAGGCCTATTCAGAATAAGGGTAAGGCAATACAAACAATTTGTTATTTTTATAGATCTTAAACTATCAAGCCTAAAATACTGAAATTTTTACCAGACATCACTAATCACATCAGTAACACTCCATAAAAATTTCACATTTATTTGAGTAAAATAACTGCAGTTATAAAAAGAACAAGACATGACTAGCATTGAGAACCTAACTGCCTAAATCTATTTTTATAGCTAAACCTTTAAACTAAAGCATGTAATATTATTGATCTAGTACATAGAGAATTTCACAAGGATTCCAAAAAGTCCTCATTTTCTATTTTACGATTTTTGTACGAATTACTATGAATTATCAAAGTGGAGCATTCAAATCTGCAAAAATCAGAAAGAAAAGGAATCTAAATCTTGCATCGAGGACCCTGAAGTTTCCACAAATAAAACCCGAACGAACGGATCCTTAACGGCACTATTCATATGAGTCACAACTTCATCACTTAACCCCACGGAAGACACTCTATTCACGCGCATGGGTCCACCTTCTTCTTCCTCGACGGCAGCAGGGGGAGTGGTGGCTGCTGCTCCGGCCGGCCATATGGTCGTCGCCATGGCCAAGTGAAAGTGGCGGAGGGACCCTGGCCCGTCTTGCACACTGGTCTATCCAAATTTCGCCTAAGGTGGCTTGTGGCGGCGCTGCCATCTGCAGCAAGCGGCGGCGAAGCTTAGCCACCGCCATGGCAGACGCGCACACACATGCGTGTCGGCGATTCTGCGGCGGCAGGCGACGCCGCAATGGCGGTATCTGCAACGAATGCGTGCTGGGCATCGAGAGGCCGAGGGCAGCAAGCAGCCGGCAAAGAAGCGAGCTCGGCGGTGGCATCCATGGTGGCCGTGCTCCGGCGTCTGTAGAGAGGAAATGCGCCAGGAGGGCGAGAGCGAGGAGGAGGCATGGAGACACCCGGGCGCTTCGGTTTGAAGCAGCGAGGGCACGAGGCGGCAGCGTGGCACGGAGGTCGGACGCTGCGTCGGCCATGGTGGGGCGCTTCTGGTGCATGGCCGCCACGAAGTCATTTCATCGAGTACGTGGCGCTGCGTTCGCGTGTCCCGACTTGGAGTCCGCTTTTCGGCATATTCGGTGCGATTCGGGCCTTGGCGCCTATAGAAAAGTTGCTGTCCTCAGAATGCTCTTCGACTTTGATTAAGGGTGCTCGGCCATTAGGCTGTTGGATTAGCATATAATTAGTACTAAACTTGATAGTGTCGGTGATTTGACAAAGACAAGCAAACATCCAAAATTGATGGTCGAAATGAAATGCAACTAGTGCCATCTTCTTGTATGTTCTTCCCCATCATGTAAGCTCCAACTTTTACATTTGGATCAACTGAAGTTGCTTAGCAAAATTTGGAGAACGCAGAATGTCATCGCCGAGGCCCAAGATTTCAGACTTAGGTCTACAAACAATGGCGAGTTTCGATCTTGTAACCTCTGTTTGCATCATCTACAAACTGAACTAGGGCATACTCCAAAAACAAACTATGTTGTACTCAAAACAAAGAACAACTTTTATTAAAGGATCAAGGTCTGGATCAGCTCGGTTTGCAAGATATAAAGCTCCAAAGTAGGGTACCCGCAGTCCAACCTCGATTAGGACTTAGCCAAATTCCTGGGCTCCAAAACAGCAATCATATTGAATCTTGTGAGTTCCATTTGACTAGGTTAGAGGCCAAAATAACTCTTGACCTTTAAACAAAGTTTGTTCTACATGATATGGACTACAACTTTCATTTAAGGTCCAACCTCAAAACTGGTATAGAACCTCACTGTTCTACTTTGACCAAAGTAGGATCACGATGAAGCTTAAATTATCCTTTTTTGATCCATTGGAGCGTTTTTCGTGGCATTTGCCCAACATGAACCTTTCATGACTTTTGTTGTAGAGTTCATCTAGAGTCATTTGGGCATGGTTGCAAAATTTGGTTGATGATCGAGAATTCCATTCACTTTATAAATTAATTCAAGCAAGGACATAACTCGTCATTTCATGTGACTTTTTGATTCCAAACTTCATGAAACTTTTCGAGTGCCCAATATAGATGGGTATTGATGTGAGACACATGAAGATATCCCAATCACACCACCCAAGCATATATCTTGAAAAGGGGTCTATAGGCGAGCAAAGGTGCAATATCCAAGTTTAGGTTGGGGCTCGTTTCTATAGGTTTGACATTGACATCTTCATCCTCACTTAATATACCAGGTTTTAGCTCAAACCCATTGCTTAACCGGTGGCAAACACCTGGGGTGTTACAGCCGCCCCTACAGTAAAAATGCCTCCGTTCCTAGTGTGAGAATCTGGCGTAGTGCTCCACCTCAACCTGCAGCGAAGCCAAACACCACGTGGTTCCTAGAGGTCAGGCCAAAACCATTTCCAAGCTAAACCCTCATGAGCCCGATAATTTCCTCCGCACCTGGGGTTTCGGATCGGCATTCTCCTTGGCGTCGTCAGTCCCCGCCTCTTGTCAGCCTCCGCATACGCCGCCTTGTTCTTCTTCTGCTTGCAGCGGCGGCGGCGATGCTCACTCTCGTGGGACTTGTTCCGGTCCTGCACGGCGGAGTCGGCAGACCCGTTGTGGAGGTCAGAGGTAGGGTTCGTTGTCGGATCAACCTCGGCGGCGGCCATGGCGATCGGCGCCGGTGGTAGGATTTTTTTGTATGCCTCAACTCTTCGAAGTCACGCACCCACACGCGTACGCGTCCAACCTAGACCTACATCTACACAAATAGGTGGCACGTGGCTTTGACATGTCCGAAGGTTGCACGTCGCTTTGAGATATCGAAAGTTATCCAGGTTTCGCACATCGTGGCGCATCCACGTGTAAGACTACACGTCATTTTGACAATTGTGACGCATTTATACGTGAGACTGCTGGATGGTCAAGCTAGACCTACATCTATATAGGTTGCACGTGGCTGAGAGATATTCAAAGTCAACTTTGAGATATCCGAAGTTATCGAGGCTTTGCACGTAACGGGCACGTTACTCTAACAATTATGGCGCATCCACGTGTAAAACTACACATCATTCATGTCTAAGAGATATCAAAGTCATCCATACTCTGATAATTGTAGCGCATCCACGTGTAAAACTACACGTCATTCTGACCATTGTGACGCATTCACATGTGAGACTGCTAAATGGCTAAGCTAGACCTACATCTACATCTATTGCACATGGCTGAGAGATATCCAAAGTCAACTTTGAGATATGCGAAATTATTCAGGCTTCACACGTAACGGACATGTTACTCTGACGATTATGACGCATCCACGTGTAAGACTACACGTTATTCATGGCTAAGAGATATCAAAGTCATCGAGACTACAGATATCTAGGACATCACGCCCGGCCGCTGGCACAACAGCTGGCGAGCGAGCCAACCGAGCTACGCTCGGTCCTCGCGCCGGTGGTAGGATTAGAAACGAGGAGGATTCCTGTAGCGTTGCGGCCGGTACGAGGAAGGCCCTGTCAAAGGCCTTCTCCTCCACTCCCAGGCTGGGCCGTTTGGGCTTTTTCCTGGCCCAATAGATAGGCCCATGCCATGTCGGACTCGGCGACTGGCCAACTGAAAGTTCCGACGGCTTTCCTTCCCTTCGATTTTCGGACTCGAGCTCGGATTACGATTCGCGCCGAGCGAGCGAGGATGATTAGCGCAAAAATCCTAATTCCTCGATGCTTAATTCGAATCGGAACAAGATAAGAATCCGACTAAGCATGTTTAGTGTGGTCATCAATCAAGAATGCTACTCCTAATAAGAGAGATAAATATACATATCCCCTTCCCCGCAGCGGGCAAACACGCAAATCCCATCCCACCATCGATCAATCGATCGGTCCACTCAAAGCCAGGATCTTGGAGAAGTGCGAGCGATTTCGTTCGTGCGGATCCGGCGACGTATATACGGCGGTCGTCCTCTCGTCACTCGTGGAGATGGAGGAATCCGCGTGCTCCGCCGCCGGCGCGCGGGGGGCGACGGGCATCGTGGTCCGCCTGAGACTGCCGCGCGCGTGGACGCCGGAGGAGGACGCGCGCCTGCGGCGGCTGGCCAAGGAGAACGGCTTCGGGCACTGGCACCGCGTGGCGCGCGGGATGCCGTCGCCCGGGCGGTCCGCCAGGTCCTGCCGCGACCGCTGGCGCCACCACCTCGCCCGCGACGTCTACCACCGCCCCTTCACCGCGCGCGACGACGAGGAGCTGCGACGCCTGGTGGCGCGCCTCGGCGGCGGCCGCTGGAAGGACGTCGGCCGCGCGGTGTACGGGCGCACGTCGCGGGTCATGAGGCAGCGATGGAGGGAGATCCGCGAGACGCCAGCGGCCAAGAAAAGCGGCGGCGCGCCGCCTGCGCTGGCGCTGCCGCCATCCGACGACGGTGATCAAGACCTGGAGGAGATCGCCGAGGATACGTCGACGATGCAGCAGGGGCCAGGTTGCCACTACGACGCCGACGGCATTCTGGCTTCGACGTTCGCTTCGTGCAATCTTGCCATGGACGCCATGGATCCCAGGGCCGGAAGCCTCGCGTTAGGTTTTGCCTGCATGGCAGTTTGAAAGCATACACTACGCGCAAAGCTAGTGCAACTCTTGGTTCATGTCCTTGTCTCAAAACTATGCGGGCATGTAAATTTTATTTTATTTTTTGCGAGGAAGCATGTAACGTGTTACTATTGTGATATAGTATACAGTTCAATTGTATGTACATACAGAATCATCTGAATCTGATCAACACCTATAAGCATGCAACAGTGGTAGTACTAGTCAGCAGCAGCAGTAGCAACAACAAAGGCAGTGTTTGGCCGGTACGAAATTTTCAGTGTTTAGGCTAGGAAACACTGTTCATGCTTCCATGTTGAGAGAAAAACACTGCTCCGCCTGAAAAAAAAAAGCCGAACAAGCCGACTTTTGCTCAGCCGAACACTAGAGCCTTTTAGTCCCAAGCAAATCGGGATATGCTAGAGTTGAAACCCAACATGAGCTCCTAGTCACGGTTCAGTCACGTCAATAACTGTTTTCCAAGCACTCCTATCAAACAAAGATATCTAGATATATCCCAACCCTTTAAATATCTTTTAATTGCCTCATCCCATATCAACTTCGGTCTTTATCTACCTCCTCACATTGATATATCGACATATCTTCCTATACCTCTTCTCACATTGATATCTCAACTTAGAACTCTACGACGCACTGGCGCTTCTAAAGGTCTCCTTCGGACATGACCAAACCACCTCAACCGATGTTGGATAAGCTTTTCTTCAATTGGTGCTAGTGCTAGACGGTCACGTACGTTCCGAACTCAATCCATCCTTTGGCCACAAATCCAACGTTGGATACGCATTTTCGCGACACTCAATAGCTGACATGTCGTCTGCTAGTAGTAAGGTACAAACAGATAAACATGTGGTAGTAGTTGTAGCAGTACAATGTACAAAAGAAGGCAGGTTAGGACCAAAACATGTTACACCACTCGTAAAATTTCTCCACCATATGGGCGGCTCTTACATACACTGTCAAAAAAAAAAAGATACAGCTTTTACACCTTTGCATTGGCTTGTATGCACATCAACCTAACTAGCCTCTCTAACCTAATTTTCTACTTTCACTATCATTATTCTGTAGGGGTACGAGGAAAAAGAATCATTTCTCTGTAAACGAATGGCAAAATGGGGCTAAGTGTTGGTGTGTATCTTGATGTTACATGGCAGACGGCTTTGGGCATGAGCATCAGCCAAATCCATGGAAACCGGCAGATTGGTACGAGTTCGACCGCTTTGGTAGCTTGAGAACTGCGAGCACACCTGCTGCCAGGGAGAAGACCGAAGCCAAGGCGAACGCTGGGATGTTTCCTCCCCCATACAGAGCATCCCATGGACCTGCTCCAAGTGAGACCACTATCTGTAAATAAAATGGAAGCATTAGTGTATGGACATCTTTCGCAACTATGCATACAGAAGACGGTTCAAAACAAAATAGTAGCTGCTAACCTGCGGAACTACAATAGCGAGATTTAGGACTCCTGTGGCCAAACCTGGAGATGGGGCACAAACAATATCAGTCAGTGTGATTCACAAGGGCATAATAAATAACAGTGCTAATATATCTGCAACACGAACCTTGTCCACCTCCTGTACCGGCAGCCAGCTCAGCAGTCACAGAAAATGGAACGCTATAAGTGATCTGCAATGCGTAAGAGCAAAGCATAAGACAGCTTCCAAGTTAATTCAGAAAGAACAATGTGATGAGTCTGGTTCTGATACTTACGGAGAGTGGCAATCCGAGAAGAGAGAAAACAATCAATGCTGTAGTCTTGACTGTTTTATTTGCCCCAATGATGTGATGGAGTTTGCTTGAGTACAGATCAGAAGAGATCCAACTTAGTATTGTTGTAGCCATCATGCAAATAAACACTGTGAAGTTGCTAATGGCCCAAACCAATCTTGCACCAATCATCCGGCATAGTGGATCAACAAGGAAGGAACCAACGCCAAGGACAACCTACACAAATGGAGTAAATATTATAGTTACAAACTTACGTTGAGATATACAAACACTAAAAACACTAGCAATACAAATTGATCGCGAGTTCTTACTGAATTCAATAGCAAACCAAATGCACCTTCTCGGACACCATTTTCATAAGCTTTCCTCTCACTCAGATCTCCATTTGGATCCCCATGGTAAACTTCACGCCCCATCCAGTCAGTGTCAAAAAGGAAAAAGGGAAACCATGACAACTGCAAAGCAAATAAAACAAGGGTAACATCATCAGTCTAGAAGATAGAAAACAAACCATCAGCAAGTGGTTGGCACACATGTATATATGTAATCTGATAGCATACCCATGTTAGGGCCATAACTACAAGCACTGAATGCATCCCAGGAGGTAGATGCCTCATGCTGGTCAAAATGTTAACCAAAACTGCTCCTGGTCCATCATTGAAGACTCCTCCATTGTCTGTGTTGGGATTCGCATTTGTAAATTCCTCAGTGTTGTTGTTAGCCGACACATTGTTTCCATCAACATGGCCATTAGGAAATCTTTCATTATTTGGTTCATTCGATGCATGGGCATCATCTCTAGAACCGTTCAGTAGAGGGGCAGAATCTGATAGTCCTTGTGCATCCTTTGGCTCTAGTGGGATCTCTTCAGCGAAGTACAGGGTAACAGACATACAAAACAAAAGAAATACCTGCAAAATTCAGCTTGCTAAGCTTTGACATACACAGTCCTAAAAAGGACCATAGAACATCTAAGAAGGATCCTTAGTGCATAAGAAGTACTAGCTTCAAATTCCAAGGGCAGTTACAGAATTTCTGAAAACTTACAACTGCAACTAAGAAAGCTGCTTTCAAATTACCACAAGCTTCACAGCAAGCTCTTGTCATTAGAAAAGGAAACCACCTGCACAAGAACAAGCAGGCAAGCTCAATTCTCATAAAGAAGTAGATTTTGTTGACTAGGGAGAATTTGGGAGAAATTATATGTGAACTTGGTGGACCAAGAAGCACCTAATAAGAGGACCAAATGTCAAAAGATGGCATGAAGAGCTATACATGCCATCATTGTTTTTTCATAAGCTTATCTGACTATGCGAGGATTTTCATCATGAAAAGGAAAACTGGAAAGGTCAGAGAGCAAATTTACGGGATTGCTAGTTTCCTCTACTACTTTTACAGAATAAACAGAGAAAAAAATCAAAATGCCACACAAATTTTAGCCTATTACTTTTGGATGCAAATCGGCACATATCTTGTGGTTTGCTAACTGCACAAGGTTACCATTTATATCAACTAGCACAAGTTAAATCAAATGTATAATAACTATCTTAAAGAGAACATCAACTGCCGAACCATAGTCATGTTTACGCAAGCACAAAAGAGAGCACATAAAAAAGGCATACTTGTGCCAATCCCCGCTCGCACCAGCTGAAAAACCAAGAATATTTCCAACAGCCATCCATGAGCAGAATATTGCATTTGCAGAACTACACTGATCAGGACCTGCATAATAGAAAGGATCATTGAATAACTAAGACTTGATGGTGAATCCAGCATTAGTAAACTTTTTAAAATTTAAGGTAGTAACCACCTGAAAGATCAGCTAGAAGAGCACGAGCAGGACCCTAAACATATCAGAAAGGAACAAAAATGTTAGGAGAACGTCCATTAAAAGGTCTTTTAGTTTTACAATATAACTTCAGCACCAAAGTTGATAAAGACATGGTGCAGGCATGCCAGATCGCAAGCTTACTTGCACTGTATTGTTTGCCAGGTCCAACATCCAGAATCCTAGAATGAAAACCATAGCAGCTCGAAATCTTGAACCTTTATATGTTCTGAATTAAAAAAAAAACAGCATTTCAGTGACAACAAACTTGATGCAAATAAAAGCAAGCAAGGAACCATTATGATGATTACCTGCAGTGCTCGGTGGTATCCCCTAAGATGTAACCGAGGTCTGCAGAAAACCCGATTAAAGTTACCTATGTATGGAGTCTATCTATTAGAACATGCGGAATTGCGGAGAAAAGGAAATACAATGACCTAGGAAACTTCATCTAACTCACAGCAGCACATATCATTATGCATCCAGCCAAAATAAATGGTCGTCTTCTCCCATACTTTGAACGGCACTTATCACTCCAAACACCAACACAAGGTTGAACCTGGAAAGGCGACGCATCAGCACATAGCTCTAATCCTGACTATGAATCAAGTCAAGAAAGAAAAAGGAGGGGGGCCTTATTCTCCCCGGGGTGACTTACCACAAAACCAGTTATAGGCCCACAGAGCCAAATAAATGATGCCATGGCATGGTCTATTCCTAGGGTCTGCACAAAATTGAGAAATGAGCAACAGGTGAATACATGGCAGAAATGAGTTGTGGGGGCATAAAAAACATAAATGCAGGTCGACCCAGGTGGTTGTTACAGTACATTTTAATCAGCATTCCAGCATTTATATGCGACATTACTACAAGTCTTAGACGGTCCAATTTAGCATAGCAATGTGGTATCGATATGAAAACCGAGTGGCGGTTTTGCCTGCTAGGCTGGAGTGTAGAGATGTTTTAGCGGCCATGATTTGTTTGGTGTTAGCCTAGTTCGTAGCCAGATAGTGAGTATTCCCCGTCTTGAGAGTTCAATGTATTGGCAGCAAGCGTTAGTATATCTGAATCTGAAAACAATTGGGTATGTGGAACATTTATACAGCAGACAAGAGTAGGAATAAGCAGTCGGTGTGCGACTGTAATCGGTGCGCGGTGGAAACAGAAATGCAGTCACCCAAAAGAGAAAGCGGTGGGCAAGACGAGATCCACCGGCGCTGCTATCCTAAATGCGCAGAGCAAACAAGGCAGGTCGCGAGAAGGAGTGGGGGATCACAGCAGGGGACGGCCTCCACCAAACCCAAATGAGAGGCCAGGCCAGGCCAGGCAGCGGAATCTAGCTAGGTAGTAGTACAGCAGCTAGCAAGAGCGAGCGAAGCAGAGGGGCGGGCAGGTGGTGCGCCAACTTAGTAGCAGAATACCTGGATGTATGGCGTGAGGAGGGAGAGCTGCAGCGCCCATCCGAACTGGACGCCCGCGGCGACCATACAGGCGAGCACGAGCTTGGTCCTGTCGGTGGCGCCGCGGCTCCGCGGCTGGTGCGGCCCCGACGGGTCCGGGTCCGGGTCCGCGTCCTTGTGCGGCGGCGGCGTCGGGCCCGCGTCCCCTCCGGGAGCGCCGCCGTTGAGGCTGACGAGCTCCATCTCGGCGTCGCGGAGGTGGCGGTAGGGCACTCGGATGGCCGTGGCCCCGGAGCCGGCGTCCATGGCGGGCGCGCCGCAGATCTGGGGCCCGCGGCGCAGTGAGATCTGGGGCTCAGGCAAAGCCGCGGCGGGCGGGTGGGCAGGAGTCGGAGTCGCTGCCGCAGCGGTGGTCGGTCGGGGTCGGAGTCGGAGGGCAGGGCGGGCTGGAGTACGAGGAGGGTCTCCAGGCAGGGCAGATCAGGGAGAGACGCCTGCCGTGCCGGTGAAGGGGAAGGAAGGAAAGATTAGAAAATGGGAGGGAAATTGTGATCTTCTGATGCGCCAGCGCAGCACTCCAGCAGCAGACGCGGCACGCAAAAGACTCACGCGCCGACGCCTGCCCGTCCGTCCGTCCGTCCTCTTGACTACTCTACTCTACTGTGCTACTACTATTTTATATTTATTATTACTCTGCGTCATCGCCCGGCGCAGGACAGGCCTGGCATTTGCGACCCGACCCATTCAACGGTTTCCTCACTGCTTCCTTCCTCCGCCGCGTTGTGGTGTGTGAGGCCGCGATTGGCGCTCCCGGAGTCATCCGGCCTGCCCAAAAAAAAAACAGAGAATACACCTGTTTATTATATTATTACAATAACTCGGTCAGACGCTAATTTGCCAACCCAACTGCAAAAAGGATCCCCTCTTCCACAAGATTAGCGCTAGCCCTGCAGCACATCAATAATAAGAAGATCAGCGCAGCAACTGCCAGCTGAGTTCCAGCACCATGAAGCCACCACCGACACTACAATTCTATATATATAACATATATAGATGTGACCCATACGCCTCTTCAATCCCTTATTAGTACACCAAAGCTTATAGTACAATATACATACTAATACACCATTCATGTGCTAATTTATATTAGGGGTAAGACACAAACACAAAATTTCAAGCTATATGCCCCCAAACACTAGAGTACTGCACACCGTTCCTCTATCTCTATAGGTGGGGTAGTGGCATACTGAAAGGAAGAAGAAAGAGAAAAGACCCCAAGGCAGGAGGAAGTAGCAACAAATAAGTTTAATCATTTTTCCTCGAGGCAAAACTTTCACGTGCGTGATCAAGCTCCTGTGAAAACGCAACAAGTAGTTAGAAACTAAGGTTAATATCACTACTAAAAAATGAGAAAAGACTGTTTTTTCTTAATAGAGATAGGCACAAGATTTACCTGCCTTCTAAAATACCTTATGATTTTCAGAGACGATAGGGCATTTCTAAAGGCAGACTTCTTACGTGGTTCGACTCTGTTAATTGAGCCCAGCTCACTATCCATCTTAAGGCACACTTTAGCCCGTTTACCCGTCTCGGCTATATAAATGAAATGAAACCCTAGCTACCACAATCCTACCTCCGGGACCTCCCTTTGCACGAGGATCTCCTCCTCGTACTCCTCGATCACCTCCTCGAACCCGTGGTCTCCGATGGTCACGATCTCCGCTAACTCGTTCTCTACATGCATGCGATGATGATGCAACATGATGAGGACATCGCCAAGATGGAGTCGAGGACGACTCCAATTCGAGAAGGGGAGGATGATGAGGACATCGCCATCTGGGACACACCACAAGCGCCATGGTCTTCCCCAAGTTGCAATTCGTTCCCAACTCGGCTACCACGTCACCCTCGGATTCAGCGAGACCGTCGTCACTTGTTTCGGGTCATAACTTCCTCATACGACGTCGAAACGGGCCGTTCTTGGATGCGTTGGAAAGGGACGACGACGCCGTCGTTTTGGATCTGGTCCCAGCTCCAGAAGGTCCGTGGATCATTCTGTGACCACGGCAAGGTGCTGCGTCACCTATTTGGGCCATGTATCGTGTCGGGCCTTAAGCCCAAGTTGTGGGCGCCCACCCCGGCCGTCCCCAACCCTAGGTCGAGTCTTAGACTATAAACACAGCCGTCGCCGCTGCTACACAATTGGGTTTTGTTTAGAGTTTAGTTTTCCATCGAGCCCAGAATCGTTCATTGTAACTGGTGACAAATCCTTTTCTGATGATCCGGGGCCCCGTTCTCGATCTCCTCCATCAGGTCGATTAGTCCTTTGGAACCGAAGTTCTTGAACCCTCTATTGATATTCGCGTCATTCATATTTGCAATATCAGTTAAGTTTTACCTTCTTGCTTGTGCTCTTGATTAAACTTGCGGAAAAAAGCCTTCTTGGCGAGGTCAATCAAGTTGTGCTTGGTTGATAACCAACGAGCGATGGTGTAACAGTTGCGAGGGGTTCGAATCGCGTCTGATTTGAAGCCGGATCGCCAACGTCGAGATCTCCACATATCGAACTTACCGGCTACCTCTCGGAAGATCGGGCCTGTACTCATCACAACACTTAGTATTACGACAACAGCAACTTTTAAAATAACAATACATCTACCAAGCTACTAAGCTAACTCTAATGACTAAGATATTAAGCTAGCTATCATTTTCATCAAACAAGGTATTGGGTTCAACTAACAACCTTTAACTTAGCAACTCAAGATATATCCTTACTTCCACTAATGATTTAATGTAAATTGAAACAAGGAGCATCCAACTACTTTAATACCTAGTCTATTCTAAGGCTACAAAAATTACAGTAAGCACGTAGTAATACAATGAAGCTACTGTAAAAATTTCAAGGCTAAAACTATCATCATTTTGTCACAAAATTTCCTACAATAATTAGTTTGATAATATTAAGTACTCTCAAACGATTTAATAGCTCCTAAGGTCAAACACATATAAGCATGAACTAAATACACCAACAGATAGAGCATAATTTTAGGAACCTAACAAAATTAATTTTATAATTTTTGGACACCTACATGATTTTATATAATTTAACAAAGATCAGCTCAGAAATATAATTAGAAAACCATTTAACTAATTCGCTTAAAAAGAAAAGGCGACGAGCCCAGCGTGACCCACCGCGTGGACGCGGCCCACGCGAGCCGGCCCACGACGGGGGCAGCCCGCGCGCCTTGGCACTCTTGCAAAAACGCCCTCGCGTTATCAGGCATTAGCGCGAGCACTACGCGTACTATTCCTATAGACAGCGACTTTGCAAGGAAGCCCTCGTATTCTCTCGTCTTCGCATCGGAGAGGTCCTCGACGCCTCCGCGCTCGTCGGTGCGACACTGGCCGGCACTGAGCCACTACGCCGGCCAACTAGGACTCACGCAGGCCTAGCTAGGGGGTCGACCCTTACCTACAGGCTGACGCGCAACTCCGGGCAGCGGTGGGACAAGTCGAGACACAGTAGGATGGCCTCTCCACGACGGCGGGCACCCTACGGCCGCAGCAACCACGTTCCGGTGAGCCTTGGCATAAAAGAGGTGATAGAAATAGTGGGTGAGCATCAGCCACTCACCACGCACCTACCCTTGGCGGTGGCTTGGCCGGAGATGCCCCGAGCAAGACTGGTCGCGTGCGCGCGGCAAGCGTGACGGCAGGCCGCGGTGGCATGGACGCGTCAGCGCCACGAGAGTAGGCGTAGGGTCGGGTGGTGCAGCCAATTTGACTTGAGGTGGTGAGCTAGTGGCTACCTATGGTGGTGGCGGGCTAGGTCTTAATGGCACTGTGGTGGGGGCAAAACTCCAAAATTGGAGCTCGGCCAGGAGCCATTCAAGGCAGGGTGGGGACGGACGACTAGAGGACTTGATGGCGGCGCCAGAGACACGACGCCATGGCGGAGAGAGCAGAGAAAGAACCGGAGCTCGACGTGACCGGCCTTGGTAGGATGCAACCGTCGTGATCCGAACGAGCCGCGCGTCGCTACTATGGACAACACACGCACGCCACCGACCGACACTGCCTGCGGGGCTATTGCGCCATAAATGGCAAAGCGACGGTGCAGGCAGCAGCGGAGGGGGCAAGCCCTCATCGCGCAAATGAGGGGACGCGAACACATCACGGCGCAGATGATCGCGAATACAATGACATCACAAAGAGAAGCGATGGGACATCGAGTAGCAATGGCCATTGGCGACCTCTGACAACACGGCGAAAGTGATGTGACACAGTGACATGACAATGAGACAGACGTCTGCGGCGGCGGTGGCGTGGCACCGTGGCGGTGGTGGCAGCAGCACCGCATGGCAAGGCCAGACGACTAGCTGTGGCCGGCCAGGACGGGGCAGTCGTGGCCGACCACGCGCGGTAGTGCGCGAGCGTGCGTTCAAGCCCAGCGACACCGAGGCTCTGACGATGGTGACCGCACACACTCGACCAGGCAATCGAAGCAAGTGTCGTGCATGAATTTTAAAGCATCGACCATGACTAAACCATTGCTTATAAGCCTAAACTGTCTTCTCTAAGCTCAAGGTGGTATATGAGGTTGCTAAATCGAGCTTGAAAGGATCAAGATGTCCAAGAGGGAGGGTGAATTGGGCTAATTCTAAATTTTTGCAATACTTAAGTCCTACATTTAGCCCATTTCACCCCTTGTGCCTAAAAGTTTTGCACCCTAGGTTCCAATCCTACTCTAGTATGGCAATTCTAGGAATGTAAAGACATGAAAAGAATTGCTCAAATATAAATGCTCAAAGTAAAGAGAGGGAAAGGAACATGGCGATGTTTTCCTGAGGTATCAGAGAGTCACCACTCTCCACTAGTCCTTGTTGGAGCACCCACGCAAGGGTGTTGCTCTCTCTTGATCCGTGCAAGGATCAAATGCTCTCTACGAGCTGATTCTTTAACACTCCGTCGTGGTGAATCGCCCACAACCGCTTACAACTTGACTTGGGTCATCCACAAGCTCCGTCGGATGATCACCAAGCTCTCAATCATCACCGAGCCATCTAGGTGATGGCGATCACCAAGAGTAACAAGCACAAACTCTCACTTGACCAAGATAAGCCTAATGAGAAAGGTGGATGCACACTTACTACTATTTATGCACTAATGAGGTCCTTAATTTTGGATTATCAAATCTCAATCACCTCACTAGGCTCTTGCTCTTCCTTGCACTCTAAAGGTGTTTCTCAGCTGAACAAATGGGCAAGAGACCTTCTATGGACGAGTGGAGTAAGTATTTATACCCC